TCTATTTGCTTTTTTTTTCGAAATGTAGCATCTCGATTGTCGAAAAACACATTTTAAATATATTTGATTTTAATATAAAAACACTTGATAAATTTAAATTATTTATTGATTTAAAAATGATAAAATTTCTGTTAATTTTTCCACCGCTTCCTGGCACACTGACACAGATCAAAGTGTATTATCTATTCTCATCAGCTTAGTATCTGATACGCTCTTCGTGTAAGAGTAAGAGAAATTCACAAATATACATGCTAGGCTTACACATACACACATTGGAGTGCACGTAGGTTTACCTCCTCATGTCGCACTCGAATCTGGGTAACGCTAAAGATCGGCATTATTTTTTTCTGTTAGTGGAAAGTGTTTATTTTTTAATAGTTGTTATGTTTATCATGTTTTACTTAAGAAAAAAAAACATACGAAACAATTTTAAATAAGAAATACACATTTAAAATGTAGTAAAATCAAAAAGTACACCAGTAGAAATTTATTAAATATTTTTATCATATTTTTTACTATCAAATTAGTAAGTAATAACCCTAATATCGCATTTTTACAAAATACAATTTTTTTGACTTTCGAGTTCGATATCTCGAAAAGGAGGTAAGAAGGAATTTTTTTATTATTTTTCCTGTATTCCTGGCATCAAAATATACAAGAAACCACACTCAAATCACGGCGCCACAGAGATCGGAATCTCCCCTAGAATGTATTCATATATATACATGCATATGTAGAAATGTATTCACATATATACATGTGTATATATATATACATACATACATATATATATATATGTAACCGTTTTAATACGTATATATATGTGTACTACCTTTCTGACACTAATCCACCTGGTGGAAAACTTGGTACTGCTACAAAATTGCGACAGACCGCACAAAGCATTAAGGAGGTACTTTGTATCACCTGTCTTATCTTGCACCGTGATTTAGGTACGTGCATTTACTTGAAATTAAGGTTATGGCAGTGTCGAAAACTCCATGTTGAATACTATGTAGAAAAACCTTGAAATTCTCTAAAGTATTTGAAAGCATAGAAAAGCATCAACTGCAGGTTTGAGGTTAAGCACAAAATTTTACTCAATTATTCCTTTGAACTTTCATATCAGATATCATGGTCTAAGATTTTTCATCACTACTTAATTTGACTCAACAAACAATATTAACAATTAATCGTTTAAAATTCTAGCAGTATTAATAAATATTAACTTTATAGTTGCACCTTTGACTCGGGAATCACGAAAGAACCACCTTGATGCAAAAACTTTTCATTTTTAGTGTCCGTTATAACGGTGAAGGAAAAATATTTAAAAAACATTACACGAATTCAACAGGCATTTTTATTAGCTTTGATAACAAATTTACAAATGATAAGAAATGAAAAATTTTGAGAAAAAAATATTAAGTAATTTTATTACTCCAAAAATAAAACATTTTGTTATAGCTAAAGAAAAACTTTCCACTATGTCCTGTAATACCTGTTGCTACTTGCTACACAGTGAAAAAATGTATTTTTAATGAAAGACATCATTTTTAAATAAAGCTTATACTTAAAAATATGATTTTTACAATGCACTTCACGGGATATTTTACATTTTAGAATTTTGTGACAGATTTGAAACAAGAGTTTTCATCAGAGCAACTAAAACGGAAGACAGAGTTTCTTTTAGATAAAACTGTATTTGAATTCTTATACGTTTGTACAAATATATAAAAACACACATAACAAAAGGGCATATAACTTGTGGTCACAATAAAATGCTAGAACGAAAAAGTGGCCAAGTTAACTAGGAAACTAAACTCAAATGCTTCCTATGAGCTAATAAAGCATTGTAAAAAATATTAAGTGTATAGTTCATTGTCTTTAACATTAATTTGTTTTACATAGCCCTGTAAGGACCCTGCATTTTCAAATACTGAATAACAAAAGCAGGACCACCATTAACTATTTCTTGTGGTATCTGAGCTAGTGGACAATTCTCAATCGACATGACGGTGAGCTTTGAACAAAGTGCCAACTCAAATGGCAAATTATTTAGGTTTGGATTATCGTTAACGTATAGATACTCGAGATTTTCTAATGTACCAATTTCTTCAGGTAAGAAATTTAGGTTATTCTCGCCAATACTTAGATGTGTTAAATTTGTAAGGTGACCAATGGCTCGTGGTAGACTGGTCAGTTGGTTAGACTGCAAAATGAGCTTTTGCAAACTCCTAAGAAAACCAATTTCGTTTGGTAAGACGTCAATTTTGTTCTCTTCTAGGTCAAGTACACGCAGCTTGCTCAAACTGGATATGGTGGCAGGAATGCGCTTCAACAAATTGTTAGATAGAATTAGCACTTCAAGATTCAATAGCTGGTGGATGTCTTCAGGAAGTTTGAGCAACTGATTTGTTCCAAGATTTAGCTCTACCATGTTAACCCACGTTCCAATATCAAGCGGAAGAGCAGTCAGTTGGTTTTCTTTCATAACTAATTTGGTGAGATTTTTAGCTCTTGAGAAAATGCCATAAGGTATTTTATCAATTTTGTTGTGCTCTAGATTGATAGTTTGAACATTGGTAAATTGCGATGGCCCTCCAAATGGGTAAGCAGTGAAGGTATTTCTTGATAATGTGATAGCCTTTAATTGTGACAAGCTTGACAAAAGTCCATCAGGCAGTTGGGAGACTTGATTTCCTTCAACGCTCAATTCATCTAGCAGTTTGCAATTTGCTAAAGATTTTGGTATACTAGTTAAACGGTTATACCTTAAGCCTAACCTTGTAATATTGACCAAATTGCCAATCGTCTCTGGAATATCTACAAGCTCATTATGTTGCAAATCAAGAGTAGATAGTTGCACGCAGTTACCAATTTCTTGGGGTAAGTGCTCTAGCTGATTATGAGCAACATCCAGTGTCAGAAGATTGGTAAGTCTGCCAATACCAGCAGGAAGTTCTTTGATCTTGTTTTCCCTCATACTTAATATAGTTAAATTAGTCAAGTTTTGTATATTATCGCTTACAGTTTTGACTCTGTTAAAACGCAAGAACAGTGTTTTTAATGTTTTAAGCTTATACACTACATCTGGAATTTCATTTAGTTTATTGTGCCTCAAATCTAAAACTTGCAGTTGTTTCAAATTTTCTAGTGTGTCTGGTAAACTTGTCAAAGAATTTTCATTAAGAGCTAAAGTACTCAAATTCGTTAAATAACCTACTTCTGGAGGAAGAGTTACTAGTTTATTACCGTATAAATAAAATTCAACTAGATGAGTAAGGTCCTTCACACTACTCGGAAGGCTTGTAATACTAGACTTACTAAGGTCTAGCCTCTGGAGCTCTTCTTCTTTGCATCTCACAAACTCTTTGGCAATATCTAAGTCAGCTGGTATTGGCTTATTCTTTTTTGTGGTTGGCTTAGGTTTGTTTGATTCAGGATGTTTTACTGTGACAGTTTTTTTAACATCTCCAGATGCAGAACTCCCTTTTTTTTCCTTGGGAAGTTCTTTCACCTAGTTAAAATAATTTTTACCAATGTTAAAAAATTAAAAATTAGATTTACTAACGTTTAAGTTTACTAATAATATACATTATAAGTAGCACTACAGTACAACTACCTATAATTTTAGTAGTACAAGTAAAAAACCTATAATTTTCCAAAATTCAGGTAGTTTTTTCTTATTATTGTTAGTAGTGTAAGGAATTAAGAATTCCTAACAATAACATTAATAATAATAATGAAAATAGTAATAGTTCCAAAAACACTAACGATTATTAAAACATTTATACCTATTACACAGTCATTTTGATAATTGTAATGATAATACAAATAGTAATAAAATTTTGTTTGTAATTTAATTATAATAGATCGTTTTACAGAAATAATGGCTGATTACTGTTTTACAAAGGGTTTGTAGAGTGCCTTAAAAAACAAAAAAATAACTACGTTCAAATTTTTCTATTTCAATGCCAGGGCTTATCAAACAATTTTTCATCATATTACTTAGAACAGTTTGTTTGATAACAAAAGAGTTACAAGTATACTCAGCAGGACAGTCAAATGTGAATTTGCTTTAGGCTCACGAAGAAGTATATATGAAATTTTAGTGAGGTATTCATAATTTATTTCAAGTGCATCAATGTTTTTATGTTCTACATACAAGTTTATTTACAAAAAGGTTAAACGACGTTGATACAAGATGACAAAATAACTGTAATAAAAAGAAAAGTGATTAAATTAAAGTTTCAACTACTGTATTTATCGGTTGTGATAAGTGTTATAAAAAAAGAGACGCAATAAAAATTGTACACAGTGATTCATCATAGTAAACAAGTCAAAGGGCATAAATGCTGAAGCAGTCATGTCAGTAGCGTAGCTGTATATAGGTGTGCCTTATTATGCTAGATGACAGATGCATGACGGCTATTTTTATATGTACATAGGTATACTAACCTGAACGCTTATGTTGGTGTCCGTGAGCTCACACGCCGCAGCTTCTGGCATGTTAGCGTCGCTGCCTGGAGGAGCAGCACTAGCCGGTAGACCGCAGCCCTCGAGGTATTCAGGGATGTCTTGTTCCTTCATGTGATCGTCACCCACTCAATTAACTCTGTTTATAGTATTGTACTGATGCTTGCAGTCCTCGGGATTTTCTCCATGCACCCGCGACTGCTGACAACATCAACCGATGACCTTGGTGAGCTGCTGCTGTTGTATTCTGATTCTGAACGCACGTACTCCACTCCACCTTCAAGGGCTTCAAGCTTACTCTTTCCTGGCTTCCTCCCTGTCGACAGTGTCCATTATACCGTAAAAGCAGGCACCGCCACCTAGTGTCTGAAAAATCGCCATAAATCGCCGCCAAAATATAAAAATAGCCATGAAAATCACCACACAGTTTTGCTATTTATTAATTAATTTAATAAAACAAAAAACATTCAAGTCACACATAATCGGTTATGTTAAAAGGTTTAGATACAACTGAATGAAAATGGATAAAATTTTAAATTATCATTAGGTAAACAAAAGTTCATTTCGAATTAATGCATTCTTATAAAAAAATGTGGTCATGGATATCTTACATGCATCTTAAAGTCATATATACATCTTACAAAGCTTATTATAATAAACGAGTTCTTTGGAAACATATAACAATATGTGTATGGATATGAGAAATCCACAAATAATATCCCAGATTTGCCCATCAAAAAAATTTGTTTTTAAACAGGCAAGAAATTTGGGATTTTTTTTTATGAATTTTCTCATTTACATTTCAATTTTTTTCTGGTATACTGATGCAAGGTACATCATAATCTTGCAATACACTTATAAGTTCAGTCTCTTCTTCTACGATATTTTGTTCACTAGATGTTTCTGAAGTCTTATTGTATGCAGTCTTATAGTTACAATCAAGGATCATCGCTAGCGAAGGAACAAAATCTTTACAGCAAATCTTGTGCGAGTAGAATTTCATTCGAATTCTCAAAATTGAGTCTAACAATTTTAGTAACATCCGATTTCGGCATTTAGTTTTTACTGCATTCAATACAGAAAAAACGCGTTCGACAACAGCATTACTTGACAGTAAAGAGAGTAGAGTTAATGAATAAGTAGCTAAGTCTGCAAATATTTGTTGACCTCCAGCACTTTTATGTGTATATACCACAGGCCAAAAGTCATAACTTCTATCTACTGCGTTCTTGCCGTACAAAGCGACCCAATCTAGTGTGACAAGCTTATTCCATTGATTTTCTGTTAATCCAAGTTTTTTAGCATCCATAAATAAGTTTTGAAATGGCAAATCAGAAAATTTTGGTCTCAAAGTATGAAACAAGCAAACAGTTGGCGATAAAAATCGTAATTTTTTATACATTTCTATATTATCAGGCAATCTTTTTGATAATTCTAGAAAAAGACTTTTAATAAATGTATATGCACGGTTTTCAATATCTTATTTTGCTTCGTTATTAATGCTTAGGGCATTCAGCAACTTTGTGTACTCTCTGCCGAAATCACAATCATGCACATCGATAAACGCTAAAATATTATTAACATTTTTTAAAACTATATCCAAGCCACCAGTGCTGAAATTTATTTTCATAACTTTTAGAGCCAAAAAAAGAATCAAACATTCTATATCATTATACGCTAAACCCAAGTCCACATTCGTTTTTTAAAACGATACATTAGTATTGTTTATTTCTGCTAAAATTGGCTTAATAATTAACAGATACAACTTATTTTTCTCATCTTGTAACATTTCGTTTAGCAATCTGTTAATGGCACTGGAATCCATTAAAGTCTCTAGGTTAATCAAATTCGATGTGGCTTTGTATTGATACTTTCTGACCGAACTTTTACCAAACCAAGCATAAATTTCACTTAATAAAAATTCAACATTTGCAGGAAAATGAGTAGAAGCTTCGGAAGCTGCATTATTTATGCAGAGCATGACTGATGCAGCGTACTAATTGTACTTTAGGGTTTACTTTTTTGAAAAGAGTGAATACCGAGTTTTTTTTCCCGCATAAATTTGATCCTCCGTCAGTTCCTAAGCCAATCAGGTTTCCTTTTTTAAAACTGTTTATCTTACAAAACTCTATTATTGCACTGTATAACATTCCATGCGTTGATCTTTCTACTTCTATCATTCCCACATAATCAGTTATAATTTTACTCAAACTTGTACTATAATACTTAATACAAATGCATAGGTACTGAAACGAAGAAATATCACTCGATTCATCCAATATAAATGAAAAAGGACTGTTACCTACATAATTGACTACTTCTAACAACATATTAGGAGCTATCACGTGTGTAATTAAATTGTTGCATTTAGTATGGTGTAAATGTATATCTTTTAACTCTAAATTTTTAAGAATTTCACTTAAGTGATCAATTGTTCGAATGGCAGTATGCACAGCCACAAATGCTGATAACTGGAGATCGCGGAACTTACTAGCCGCATCTTTATTTCCTTGAGATTTGCACAACGATGCTATTGTTGGTTGTCGCTTTGGATCGATTTGCTCTGCCAGTCTTGTATGTGTTCGTCTGGTGCAATGAGTTTTTAAATCAGTGAGATGAGCACGGAGACTTTTTTTGCACACAAAACAGAAAGCCTGTTTTTCTTGATCACTAGTGCGATTTTTTCTCAACCATCCTTTAGCTCATGCTTCGTGTTCCCAATCTGGATTATAAACAAAAATACGTCTTAGTGTTTCTTGACTAGACTTCCTGGAGGTCATTATGAGTTATTATAACTTATATCATTTGCTTCTCAAATTAAAGTAAATGTATCTAAAAGAAAAGAGTTAATTTAAAAGATTTTAATGTTATCAATAATAATTAAACTATTTACGGTATGATACGAAGGGCCTAATTTGTTAACTTTGTCAACCTTCTTACTCAGAGAGAGGATGATTTGTGATAAAGAGCGTATTTCAAAATTCGGGCAACCGAGGCGCTCGAAAGATTTATTGATTTTGATAAGTTTCAATTCGCCGAAGTCGGGTGCCCATTATTAGAATTTTGTAACGTATTAAAATCAATTCTGCGATTTGAAATACTCTTAAAGTTTCGACTTATCAGAGAACCAATATAGAGTGAAAGGAGTCTTCTGATTAGTTGAAACCTTTTAATTTGGCAATCTTACACATATTCACGAGGAAGTATCTTCTTCCTGTGTGAGAAAGCTGACAAAGTTAGTGAACTAGGCCTTATCAAGGCCAACAGTGTTTTTTTCTTCGACGGCTACCATCTGTTACGTTCAAAACTTAGATAATATATATTGTCTAAGGTTTGGAAAGGATCGTACTTGGCAGATATCAATTTTTGTAAAGTCCGTAACCAACCAATAAGAGTGTGTTTCAGTAGTGCTCTCCAACAATTTATCGGCAACTTGAATATGGCATACGATATCTTAAGACACGATAAAGTTGCTGGTAAGTTGTCGGGGGATGATATACTGAAACCAGAAAAGATCACTTTTCGATATTCAAGATCAACAATCGACTTCAAGTGCGATCCTTCCGTGTACGGTACTTAAAAGAAAAAAAACGCACCCAAACGTATATTTACATATATACATGGAATTATTTGGCCACACTCGTCAGAATTCAGAAATGCAGCCAAAAAATCGCCTGCACCCTAGCTTATGTTACAACCAAAAAAATCGCCATAGCCACTTAACGAAAAAAAATCGCCACGCAAGGCTAAAAATAGCCAGTTTGGCGATAAATCGCCAGTGTTGGACACACTGCCTGTCGAGTGAATGTCCACAATACAATGCAAACACGAACGTTTTAGGCCACGGTTACATGCGGCGGAAATAAAATAGCCAACGGAACGTCATAGCGATAGCGTCAGAAAAGTTCCTCCGTACTGCCCGTTTTATTAGTTTTACCTACGCCATTGCGGATTGCGGCTTTCCGCTGAGTAAATCTTAGGTAGCACCGCCAATGCCGGAGCTCAGTACCAATTTGACCAGCATGGAAGCATTAGATCTTATGGGAACTGTACTACTTTAATTAATTTACATTCTGTTTTCATGTATAGTGAGTAGTGACTTATGAAATCAGTACTTCTTACACGACATCAGTATACTTTCTCGAACTCAAATTACTTTGGAGTGATTACTACATTCTCTTTGTTACATTGTCGAAATTAATCATATACTAACCAAGCAAGGTTAGTCAGCTTATCAGACGTGCCGTATACATATGTATAGTCGATACTAGCTGTTTACCTGAAGAGTCCCATGATTCTTATTTCCTTGTTCCACCGATTTAGTTCCTCTTGAATAATTTTTTTCCAATAAACTATTCCAATGTCGTGTTAAAAGTACCAGTTCCATAAACAACCACATAAAAATAGGATTGTAGTTAATTGAAATAAAACCGTTCCCACAAGATCCAATGCTTTCATGCTGGAAAAATTGGTACTGACCTCCGACATTGGCGGTGCCACCTGAGATATATGATATGCTTGTAGTCAACAGTGAGGAACAGAAAGACCCATGGAGTAAAAAATACATAAGGTGGGCTCTTCAGCCAGCCAACTGATCAGCCAATCAGGAGGCTTGGAACAAGCGACCTTCCATATTGAATTTTCCACCAATGAGCGAAGAGCGCGTTGTTTAACAACTGCTACACATAAACAAGAGTACAGGGTAAAAAATTTCCTTGATAAATCATATCTTAAAAATTTGTTAGGTGCACTGTTTTACATATAAATATAATTCTATATGATGATCTGATTATTTTTAAAATATACAATGCATAAAGTTTATTAACTATTTCAATAAACAAATTTTACAATTTTTTTTCTCTTATGAGAATTTTAACATCAGAAGTCAGTTTTTTTGTTCATCTCTGGCAATCTAATTTACGTTATCGTACGTACGAAGGTTTTAATTTAATAATGCTTTTCGAGGTGAGTTGTATTTATTTTCAGCAACAATATTTATAATATAACAAATCATGAAAATACCCCTTACTTTGCATCCAAGATATTGATTCTCGAATATTGGGATTCCAAAAGGTCTCATGACTCTCGCGATGTATATAGTCACTTGGGGGAAAAATAACACAGGCCTTATGGGTGCGATTCTATTTTCATTTTTTTTTACACATTCAACGATTGTAATACGATAAAAGCCTTGTAATAACATATTTTTGAGGAGATGAAAATACC